GTGGCCTATTTCTCTTACATTATTCATAATCCACAATATTCACCAATAAGATTAATTTAATTTAACATTGGTTCACAAATTCACAACAAATCATGTAGCGGCCTATCCGGTCCGAGGATCCACGATTACCGTCATGCATCATCAACAAATCCAAATTAGAATTAGTCCAACTTACCTGCGTGGAATCGAGCCCAAGGAATCGATCCTCAAGCTCGCTGCCCCCGCCGGAGCAGTTCCCATCGCCGCCGGAACAACCCCGGCACCCCGCAAGTAGCCGCCCCAACTGCCCAAACCCGAAGCCAGACCAAACAGCCCCATTGGGTGGTTCACAGCAACCCGAACAGTACATCAATGAACCCAAAATAGTCCAATCACATCCATTTGCAACCAATTGAATCTAAACAGTCGAATTGAACCCGTTTAGACCCAATTGGATCCAATTAGGTCAAGCCCAAACCGTTGCCCAGCCCCGGCCAACTCGCCGCCGCCGCCAGGTCGCCGGAAGAGACGACGGAAACAGCCCCCCAAGCACCAATTCCATAATTTCAACACAACAATCACAAATTCTAAATCAAATCGCAAGATTATACGCTAAGGAAGTTCTAATCTATGAATTAACGCTAACGAAAGGTATAGAAACCACAAATCACTTCGAAAAACGACGAATTAAACTTGAATCGGAGTGAGTTCGCCGCTGCAACTCTTCCCTGGTTTCGCCGGTCTGTTGCGTGCGACGGAGGGACGAGGCGAGGACGTCGGTCGGAATCCCTAGCGTCGACGGCGATGACAGCGGCGAAGGTTCTCGACGGTTGCTGCGGCTGCTAGTCTCCCTGGCAGACGGACGGCGAACAGAGGCTAAAGGGACGAAGTGCTTAAGTCTCGTAACTCCCCACTCCCTATTTAATATAAATTTAATTAAATTTTAAGGTCCAGTTTACACTTCCTAATTGGTGAGGATAAATTTAGGCCCAATTACCTCATTCGACAGTCGTATCTTGGGCCCAGTAAGTCCGATTCTCAATCCGTTTGCGCGGTCGAGTTCAGAACAGTGTGTCGTACAACGAAGGTCAACCCCCATATTAATTATGCAAATTAGAAAATAATCTTCGTATTGATCGGCCTAATAATTAATTAATTCTATAAATTAATTGAAATACTAAGCCGGGTTTTGGGGCGTTACAACACCTTAAACTAGCATAACTTAAGAGTTGGGTAGAAGTACCTTAAACTAGGAATAGTTTAAGAGTTGGTTAAAATTAGTGTCTTAGACTAAGAATAGTTTAAGAGCTTATTATCAAAATAATTTGCCCTTAAATTAAGAATAATTTAAAAGCACTATTGAAATAATGAATATTGAATATTCTATATACCATGGAATGACTCGAATTCGAAGTATTGTGAATATCATGAATGATGAATGCTTGAATTGAATGTTATGTGCATGATATCAAATGATTTCATTATGAATTGAGATTCAATTTATATGGATGTTCGACGCATCAGATATTCTTACTAAGCTTTAACGATGAGCGCGTAGTATATTTTATTTGCTACACGCAGGTAAATAGAAAGAATGATGTGACGTGATCCTGGAGATAGATAGGGGCGAGATAGTCGGGATGAATGTGATGGTTTGGATTGAATGACATAAATAAATTTTGTTTTGTGATTATGATTTGTTAAGCTTCCACAACATTGAAAACTCTGTAGTTTTACTGTTATGAATATTATTCTTATGATGAATGAAAGTGTTTGAAAATGTTTTAAATTTTTACGATTACCAAGTTAATACTTTAGTCCGAAAGGAGGCTGCAGACCTGGACGGATTAGGGTGTTACAAGTTGAATTCCCAAGTTGTTGAGATTTTTTTAAAGCTCCCAAAATGTTTTCAATTACTTCGATGAATATTTAAGTTTTCAATTAAATATTTTTAAAATGGTTTTGGATATGAGTTGTATTTGCGTACCAATTTAGTAGCAATCAGGTTCGTTGGCCAATGCATTTGGGTTATGTGGGTTGGCGTGTTATAGGGAGCGGGTTCAGAATTGAAATCTTGGTCTCGAAATAACATTTTAACCATTTGAATGGTAATTCGAATTAATTTGAATTTTTTATATTATGTTTTTTATGCATGAAGGTAACCATAGAGCCATTGGGTTCCTACTGATATGCTTGATTTGTTATGAACTGTATATGAACTAAATTTTACTTGTGGGTGATAAGTATGAACTACAAACTCAGACTGAGGAACATGTCATCTAGTGTTCTTAGGGGAATCTAAATTGAGTTGTATACTGAAACCTACAATAGGACTTTGGATTCAGAATTTAAGGTCTTGAAGGTGTCGGCGTATACCTAATGGGCTCTAGGTTTAGAAACGTACGTACGAGAGTCTGTGACCTACCTCGAGACCTTTGTGGTAGTGGCTCCAACCTGCCCACTGAACACCTTTTATTGGATTACGACAAGGATGGCCTCTTTGCACCTCCATGAGTGTCTACGACTTCTGTGGTTAGTTGAATTTAGCCTGGTAGATTAAGTGAAGTGGATTGATGTGAGAGTGGAATAAAAGTCACTAGACCTTAACATTTAATTATATTGTTACTTGTTCCTATGGCGATGTCTGAATGTATGTGAATGTTTTGTTACTCTACTAGTTGATTCTTGGCATTAGCTCACTCAACTTTCAGCTGAGTGTGTAGTCTTTGTTGTCTTTAACTGCACGTATGTAGGAACAAAGGATTAGATTAGCAGCCCGATAGTCAGTGATGCTTGACGACATGGATGGCCTGCGATTATTAATTTAGTTATTTAATGCTTATATATTTATTTACTTTGAAGAATGAATTATGGAGTTTCGTGTGGAAAATGCAAGTGCCTCTAAAAGTTTGAAACCTTTTTTGGCAGGCTTTAAATGATGTACTGCCAGTGAACACACGCTTGAAACAAAAGCATGTAGGCGTGCAAGAAATCTGCCTACACTGTCTTGGGGCTACAAAACAGTCATGTACTCCCTGGTTCACTGTAACTATGCGAGGCAGTGCATGCACCAGGTAGACGGGAGATGCTGAGTAGATTTTGTCTCTTTGGGACAATGGTTGGAAGTTGTACGCCATGCCACAAGAAAGACTCAAGTTGAGAAAATGATTGTGATTATGTGTGAAATATGGGTTCAACGAAATCAATTTTGTGGAACAAGTATATGAGAGCACCTACACTTGTCGCCAAGGCAATTTGTTGGCATAATGATTGGCTAGGAGCTAATAAGAAGGAAAAGAGCTATCGTGGGATGGTTGGGGCGTCAAACACTAAGTGGAAACCCCTAGAAGTGGGTGGCCTAAAGTGTAATGTCGACGCTAGTTTTTTTAATACCGACGATGAAAAGGTTGGGGTGGTAGTACCTAATGCTTAGGGGAACTTTATACGAGGGATGCACCATGGTCTTGGGATAATAGAAAGCATTTTGCTCGTTCAAGCAATGGGGGTATGAGAGGCATTGACATGGCTAAAAGATAATTTTGCTCACAACACTATGTCTATTGAATTGGACAACCGCACGCTATTTATGGCTCTTCAAGCGGATGAGGGTAACACCTCTTATTTCGTAGGTGTGGTGAATGATTATAAAGCACTTGAGACAAAATTGAATTCTCTCTCATGGTCTATTGCTAGAAAATCAGCGAATCAGGTTGTTCATATGTTGGCCCGAGCGTTTGACTCTACGTCTGATTTCTTGGAATGCGTTTTCATCCTTCCATGTCATATTTGTGATGCCTAAACTTTGATACTATTCAGTAATAAAATTACCATTTCATTTAAAAAAAGGCTTCCATACTATTTTAATATACTACTCCAATGATACATTGAATGATTCAAATGGTTGGACTTTTTTAAATGATACATTTAAATGTCTTTAAATTATTTGGAGTGTGAATACCAATTTAGTAGCAACCCGGCTTTCTAATCCATTTTTCGAGCTACACGGATTGGTGTGTTACACAGGAGGTAAGAACATTAATTTTTGAATAGAGCACTGTAAAAGGCCCATGTCATGCTATGACAATGAAAGACAATGCCACATGAACCATGCTGATTTAACATTTCTGCATTGTTAATTAGTCTCTCCGTCCCCCATAAATCTTCATAGTAATATTTAGAAGGTCAAACTTTGTTTACTTATTTTTACTACTTACTCCCTTCGCCCAGAAAAAATCTTCCCGTTTCTTCTTTTTCCTCATCCAGAATGAATCTTTCCATTTTAGTTTTTAACACATACACTACCTAAAATACCCTCACCCAATATATCTTCCTTCTCTTTCTCTTTCTCGTCCTCTTCTTTCTCCTCCTCTCGTCATTCATCACCCCTTTATCTTCCAATTCTTCATCTTCTTCAATTCTCTCTCTCTCTCTTTGTTGCCCTTTCTCTTTCTCTTCTCTTTGTCTCATTCTTCTTCTTCTTTTTCTTCTTCTTGTTATTATTCTTCTTCCCTTTCCTTCTCTTATCTTCTCAGATTTGCTAGATCTGTGGTAGATCAGTGCAAATCTACGCCTTTATCATCATCTTCTACTACTACTCTTTCTCCCCCTTCTTTCTCGATATGACGATGGTACAACTAGCACTAACGGTTGGGCTGGAGCAATGGTGGTGACAGCTGACAAAGATGCGGGATGAGGCTGGCAGTGGGGAGGGCTGTCGGAGATGGCAGGGTGGGACGATGATGTGGCTGCTAGAGGTGGGGTTTGGGCGGCGATGATGGGGCTGGTGGTGGTGGGGTCTTGAGCGATGATGATGGGGTAGGCGGTAGTGGCATCTGGGCGGTGATGGGACTAGCGATGGTGGGATTTAGGCGGTAATGAATGCTAGATGTTGAGATTGGGGAGCGGCAATGGTGGAGTAGCAAAGTAGGGGAAGGTAGAGGGTCATTTTGGATGAATACACCCCATAGTCAACTCATCTTAAAACTAAGAAAAAGTCAAATTGAGAACATTAATACTAGAGGAATGAAGTATTTTACTCCCTCCGTCCTACTGTCTTTGTCCACTTACCTTTTGGCACACACCATCCAATGCACTTCTTTAATCCATTTTATCTTGTAATTTGTATATTAAAAAATTATAGAAATTATATATTAATAATCTATATGTTAAGACAAATCAAACAAGATCACACATGACTATATTTAGGCTTACACATTGAGAGAATTTGATGAGTCAAAGTGCTTAGATGAACAGTTCCAAAAGTCAAAAGTGGACAAAGACAATGAGACGAAGGTAGTATAAAATAATATAGTCTTGTCATATCTTTCTTGTAAGATTGTTCATGTAANAATACTAGAGGAATGAAGTATTTTACTCCCTCCGTCCTACTGTCTTTGTCCACTTACCTTTTGGCACACACCATCCAATGCACTTCTTTAATCCATTTTATCTTGTAATTTGTATATTAAAAAATTATAGAAATTATATATTAATAATCTATATGTTAAGACAAATCAAACAAGATCACACATGACTATATTTAGGCTTACACATTGAGAGAATTTGATGAGTCAAAGTGCTTAGATGAACAGTTCCAAAAGTCAAAAGTGGACAAAGACAATGAGACGAAGGTAGTATAAAATAATATAGTCTTGTCATATCTTTCTTGTAAGATTGTTCATGTAATTTTTTATTATATAAGTTTTATTTTTAAATTGACCTTTATAATCAAATAAATTGAATAATTTCGCATAATTGAAATACTCTAAATGAAAAATTAGAAAATAAAAGTGAAAAAATTATACTGTACCTTCAGGTATATATTTTTCTTCGCAAAAGGAACAGTGATGGGGATTTCACCTGAACATCGTTGTGCCGTAAACACACTTCCGGACGTTTCTTCTCCGGTTCCCAAATCCTCAAAATCTCTTTCTTCCTCATCTCTTCTCGTACCACGTTCATTATTTGTACAAAATCATCATTTAAAACCCTATTTTGTAGTTAGAAATGGCGATCGCTTCCCCGAGAATCTCGTACTCGTTCTGTTGCTGTCGGGTCGGGTCAGCCCGTGCTGCAGTTGGCTCTGTCCGATTATTCCAGATCCAGACACGGTTCCGAGCTCGGAAGTTCGCGTTGTGTTCTAGACTGGACTCATCTTCATCCGCGCACTCCAATGGGTTCGATGGCGATCTCCCCTACGAGCTACAGCACGGGGTGTCGACCCACCACGGCCGTCGTGGGTCGCCGGTGTTCGTGACTCTCCCAGTGGACGCGGTTAGCTTCCAGCTGGGGCAGATGAAGAGGAAGAAGACTATGGCACAGTCTTTCAGGGCGCTGAAAGCTGCCGGCGTGGAGGGAGTTGTCATGGAGGTGTGGTGGGGGCTGGTGGAGAGAGATAGGCCTGGCTCATTCAATTGGCAGGGCTATTTGGAGATTGTGATGCTGGCAAAGCACTGCAGCCTGAAGGTTCGAGCTGTACTAGCGTTCCATCAGTGTGGCACAGGGCCTGACGATCCCTTTTGGTGGGTAGCGTTTACATATCTTACAATCTCTATACAATCTAGTAAGCGTAATCAATCAACTAAATATATCACAAAATCTGAGGCTATTGCAAACCCTTTCCCTATTAAAGCAATTGTCTGAATTACAATATTTTGTAGACTTAAGGTTTATATTGATACATTTATTGTGTGTAAAGAGGTTAGGATCACAATGTTGGCACATTTGATTGCCTATTATTACTAATAAATTCAGTAATGACATGAGGCTTACAGGGGAGCATAATAATCTGACAAGAGTTAGTCTATTAATCTAACTAGTAAATTCAGTGGAACTTGGCTGTAGGCTTTGGAAGTTCAATTGAACTACTATCCTTTTTTTCCTTTCGAAGTATTAGCGGTGCAGTAATGCACTAGTGTGGCACTGTGGTTAATTATGTTAGGCACATGAGTTTCAATAAGTTTTCATGCACTATCAAAGGTTGTTAAGGTTCAACATATGAAGTCTAAACTCATGCTCATTGTCAAGTGATTGTGAATCACTGTGATTTATAGATTCTGGATTTCTTCACCAAGTAGTTTGATAGCTCTTTGCTAGTGACTTTGATAGATATTTTCTTTATTCACTAACGAACTATCATTGTGCAATTGATATGTCTCTTGTGAGTTAGGCTAGATCATTTTTGAGGTAAGAGCTTAGTCTATATCTTAATAGATAGATTGTTTGTAAAATGATTTGTCGATTCGTGAAGTACTTCCACTTTTCCACTATCCCTTTTTTGGGCAGCCCTGGAGTATTTGTCCACTTTCCTTTTATAGAAAAAATCAATGCTATGGAAAGACCATTATACCTCTATTACTACGCTCAACTACCATCCATTCTCTCCCTCAATTACCCTATCCCTCTTCTGGAAATGAAATCAGGCGTCCTT